ACGAGCATAATGAAAACCAATGACTACCTAGTGCCTGTTCAGATTTGATGTAACTATGTGGTGCAGTGCCTGAGAGCACGAACAACTGCGAAAGACTCATCGTGCTCTTTTTAAACCAGACTGATTCCGGCAGATGTATGCTTCCCCATCTTTGCAACTGAGATTGATTGCCAGAGGTCCTGTAGTACGGGATCATATCACATGGTCGAGTGTGATACATGCCCACTTCGACGAGACTCCGGACCCTTACTGAGTCATGAGTCACGATTCGCAAATGCGCAATACATAGCAGATACCTTCTTATTTCATAAAGTTCATGTCATCAACATTTTTACTGTTCGAAGGATTGAGTTGATGTCACGTTATTGGAGCCTTGCTAAGGCTCCCTATCGCTTCAGTTTAACGGTGGGATACTCCTCGTGAGAATGACACCGCTTTAACTGCCGGATCGACTCGAGACCCATTCCGCATAATAATTTCCAAATCCATTATATTTTGAAATTGACGCTTGAGTCGGATCACATTCGACCCAAGGGATGAAATTGAGTATCGACTGGAAATTCAACATCAAAGATGTTCATCGGTCATCCCTTTCCTTCCTCATCAGGCTCAACAGTACACCCAATATTCTGAAGGCTCTCACTACTTCCTACTCCGGAGTGTACGACGATATTCTCGGCACGCGATATATCTACATCAACTGTGATACGCGGCGGCTCGCCTAAAGGAAGCACCCTGTTCGTCGTTCGGTTTTCAGAGTCCGAGAAATGGGAACTTCAGATATCGTATTCCAGGGTAAGCATAACCCATGCACACAGCAGAACACCTGCCCGTGGTTTGCGTCGGTGATGGAGCATGCTGTTGTTTCTAAGATCTCACCATGTCGTCTCAATGATCACAGTTGATGGCCAGCTAGTATCGGAGATTCACCACGTGGGAACTTCTTGGGCCTTACAGAGGTATCAGCACTGCTGAATAGAGTATTAACCGCTGTGAATTCGGCAGTCAGTGGAGGTCTGTATGTTTCGGATGTGGTCCATTGCGTGGTTCCATCCTATTACGCGCTGACAGGCGTAACGTTGTAGTAGGCTCAGAGTTGCATCAGCGTTTCCCTCGAAACCTGCATCGTTGAGTTTACCAAGTTCGTTCCAAAAGTACCCTTCCCGCGTTCACTGCTCGCTCCACAAGTTGTATTCTTACATTTGCCTACTGGCATGGACTCTGGCACTCCTGCTGCGGTTAGTGCTGAGGGTGAAGGACACGAAGCCTTCGGAAACTACAGGAATCCCCGTGGGTTCTTGGAATCAGTTCTTGATGTATATTGCTGTTGTCGTTTTCCGCAGGCGATTCGACGGCGACGCTGCCAAGTCCGAAGGGATCTCCGTAAGATCAGTCGCCATAAAGCATTTCAACCACAATGGATCGTAGGGATGCCACTGGCGACACGGCCGAGAATAAACTGGAAGTTGACGATAGAAGAGTAGCATGTGATGAGGCAGCGGCCTCGCCCCCGTCTAGTCTCGATATCGACGGCTGGCGGATTGGGTAAGTCCTTGAGACCCTGTATGATTTTACATTGGGAAGCATGCTCAGTTCGAAAGGGGGTACTCCCGTAGAAGAAACTGAACAGACAGGAGAGCACGTGTGGGCATCGTACTGTCTCTCCTGTCAAGCAGTCATGTCGTCTCGGTAGTGTGCATTGCCGAGAAGATACTGAAGGAATGGTCGAGTCCAGTGAGAATGCTCTGAAGGAGGATGAAGTAAAGCAAGACGCTGTAGTCGGATACAGGAAGCGTAAAAGTAAGCTGCACCAGCTTGTAGCTACTACTGATACTACTGCCCAAGACGACGATCGCGGATTTACATCAGTGATTTCTCCCTGTAGCGCCAACAGTTTTTTGTCGGAATATGGTCGCGTTGCTTGCCAGCTCTATCTCAGGTGAATGTCTACAGATAGAGGTACCCGAGCCAGAGGAGTCCTCTAATAGTTTCGAGGAGGGGCTGTGCAGCGGAGGCAGCAAGCATAACATAGCCGAGCCATCTCTCAAGCGAAGTCGACCATTATCGGTGATTCATAAAACCGTCACTGCACCATGAAAATATTTCCTATCGCAGACCGAGGAACTCGAAATGATGGAGATTGCTCAGTACCACGCGGCGAGAGTGAGAGAGCGGTCGAGGACGGAGAGGTTTAGACGGAAGACCCTCGTGGCTAAGGTGACGATCGCCGTTAGGCTCTTCTTGGCCCCGCTTGATGGCTCGTTCGAACTCTTAGGCTGCCGACACCCCTTTAACAGCGGGTATACTGCCGTGCTCAACAATGAAACTGACGGTGCCTTTGGTGAGTTGAGATGAGTGGGAAGAAGTGGCATATCTTGTGATAGGAGCCCAAGTTGCACACGGCAGCGAGAGCTCTTGGAACCGGTTACGCTCCGAGGTCGGAGACCCCGAAGGACGTGGTCGATCAGGCTGACGGCCTGGCAGTTGCGGTGGGTGGCTCTCTCGCGGTGACTCGCAGGGGTGACGCTGACTGGGTTAGGCTGAGAGGTTCTCCAGTCGTCTCCGAGAAGCTAGCAATCCCAGATGGAGCGGCAAGCCCACCGTGAGCGTGGTATATGATGACATAGTGACTATCATACTCTGTAGGTTCCGATCTCGCCGAAACTAGCTCATATGAGGAGCCGGTCGAGACCAATGGGCACGGTGAGCCGCACACGGCAGACTGCAGCACCCGCTGCCGGTTCACTGCATAATAGCTCTCGAGGCGCTGAGACCAGCGCGGCATCGACGGATGGGCGAGACCATGAGGTGAGTCCGAACTCTGTGCGTGTCGCGGGCGTTGATTTACTCTGTCAGGGTGACAATGGGCCTCGACCGGTCGAGAGTCTTGCTGTTGAGGTGAGTGTAGTTATTGCGGCCCGCGGGGATTGTCATGGTGGTCAGACGGTGAGCTTCAGCAGTCGATTGCGGGAGAGCAGCGGAACTCGATGGACTGGCCGGCCCACAGTGAGCACGGCGCCGCCCGCCCAATGCTTATTCCATACCAACTGGTGTGTAGATTCCATCGTCCCCTCGCTTCAGTCGAGCCAAGGCATGGGTAGGTGGGGTAGGCTTCCCGCTATGACAGGCTTATCGTGGGTTGTGATCAGAGACATCCTGGGCTCAATCAGAGTGCTGTACAGTTTGAGAGGTTCACGAGGCATCCACTTGGCCCTGGTACTCCCAGCCACTCCCAAGACACGCCAAGGGTTGGTACCACACTGAGAGAGGAGGTGGGCTCTTCCGCCAAGCCTTGGGCCAATACAGATGTGGCCGAATTCCGCGACTTTTCCTCTTCTTAGGCCGAGAGGTTCACCAAAAAACTCCGTGAGAATGTAGCGAGTTGGAAGTGGGCTGGCAGGATCACTGTGCGTTGCCGAGAGTTGAAGTTTTTGAGACCGCTGCTTTTCAGGTGCCGAAGTCCCCGAATCTCAGCCACAATCGCGGCGGGTCCCGGGTGGGTGCTTCCTCACCTCTCAGCACGGCAGCTTCTGTCTTCAGGTCAACACCACTTTCTGTATGGCGGACTCTCGCGCGTTTAACAGCAGCGGACTGGAGACTTCTTTCAAGGTAGCGGTTAAGAGTGCGACGAGTTCAAGGATGTCTCCCTAGGCTCGACCGGCTCCCTCTTCAACACGGCGTCCTCACGCTGTCCCCCTCGGCCCATTGAGAGCCTCGACCAAACCCAAGAGCCCCAATTTGAGAACTCGAATTCGATCCGAGATCGCACCGTAAGATACCCCTCGCTTACATCCGATTGCAAAAAAGCATTTAGGAGCCGAATCGGAGACGACGCCGAGAACGACCGCCATAAATTCATCGCGAGGCCTGTGCCGAGACGAATCCTCGCAGAAGTTCAATTCACCGTTGATCTCGGGCCAGAGAAAGTAACGGTCCCTCAGGGCCCAGAGTTCAGTACGTTCCCGTGCAGTGACCGCCAGAACTCTCAGTGGCTTGCAGACACTCAGAAAAGATCCCTCGAGCGGAGCATGCAGAAGAGCTTCATCTCCAGCGACGAGTCTGCAGTCAGCTCTGCAAAATATAATGACATTTCTTCTATCCCCGTCACTGGAGATGAAGATGCAACCACGACGAGCGAACTATCGACGAGTCATCCGTTGTAGAGTTGATGATCATTTGCACGACGATGTATTAATTCATGCATGCGGGGATGGCAATTACCGCCATTAGGCGAATGACCGTATCGGTTTGAGAATGCAGTATTCACCACGAGATGTGTTGTGTTGAGATGAGTGGGAAAAAAGGAGGCGAGAGAGAACGTTAGTAAGTGTCGGCGCTTTCGGACATAATACAGTTTTTTTGACCGAAGTTTAGATACTCGACGTTAAGACACCACAAGTTGGTATTGAATCTGAATAAAATTCGACAGGGCTCCGTAAAACCACAAAGAGCTTCGCCATGCAGGCTTTCCGAATGTGTTTCTAAGCACTATGGTACATATCGCCGTGCATTATGATACTTCCTCAATTCTCAGCGAAAATTCACATGGAAATGCATCAAATGGACGTGGCAGCTCGTGTAGCTGCATCTCGCATGCACAATTCCCATTAAGTCGCCTTGCGTACGAAGATTGTCGGCTCAGTTCAACAGTGCGTATCACGATTTCACTTACCGCCGCAGGATCACAAGAATTTGCTATATTGAGCGAGGCGGAGTTGAAGATGCATCTAGTGAGGCCTGATCCCCTCCTCAAACTCTTGGTAGCCCACCAAAGGGAGATCTCTGCCGTTGTGTATCTCCACCAGAGTAATCCTCAACTGATTCACCGGATCACCTGATTATCTCTGAGCTTCCACACCTCATGAAACTCATGCACGTGCCGGTAGTGTCCGAGGCGGATGGTCCCAGAGTGTTCCGGTAGATTAACTACTAGTTAATAACTAGAACTCAAAAGAATGATTATGATGGGATGCCACATCATCCCGACAGCTTTGAATACCGCACGGCGGCAATAAGTGATGAACTTGACTACGACCACCATCAAGGAGAGCATCTTCATCCGAGGCGGTTATAGTCGTCATCTACAGCTCAATAATACTGATAATATCGCTAACTTCACGTAGGCACGATTGCCATAATTACTTCCATAGAATATGATGTTATACGGAACGGCAACCGCAAAAAATCAATTCCAAATGAATCAAAATGTCAACTAGGAGGCCCTTTGCATCTTGTGGGGCCGTTCAGGGTCTCCATCGGCACCATTGGAATCGGTATTGGGCATCGATCCATTTCTCGCTTCACGTCCATTGCCAGTGTCCACACCAGCTGCGGCGGCTGCAGCATTAGCAGCATCGAGCATCCCCGAGGCAGCGAGCATAGCTTGGACCACATCGCTTGCAGTATCCGTAGGAGACGGTGGCACAGCGGAAGGTTCCGACGGATGCGCTGATGGGACGACAGCCTCAGCCGACGACCGATCTTCAGGGGCCACGTGGGGGACGGTGGGACCTTCACCTGATGGCTCGGCAGGGACATTGTTATCTTCGGCCAGAACCCCAGCAGCCTGTTGGATGTATTGATTCAACAGGAGGATCTGCTCAGCCGTGCCCGTAGAGTAGTCCGAATGGGGCATCTGAAGAACCCAAATGAGGAGAAGCCCTCCTCCGGGATCTTACCTCAGCCTCAGAGTTGCACCCTGTTGGGCCGCCTGAGCAGCGAGATAGCGGCAGTTAAAGGGGGTCCCCCTCAGCAGCCGATGGGAACATCCCAGGAGGTGGTGCCGGAAGCATCATACCACCAGGCGGCATCGATTGTAATGCAAATCTGAGCACACCACTCACAGTCATCAGTGATAGCACATAGGATGATGTACCGAGTGGCTCCCGATACTGATCCCTTCGGCCTTCCTCTAGCCCTCCGGTCCCCAGCTGAACGTTCTCCCGGCATGAGACCGCCAACACATCCCTCCAAGGCCAGCGTTCTCTGATAGTCAACCTTGAGGAGCACGACCTCCTCCTCAGCTCTACCTGATATATCAACATCATGTGTAGCAGCCAGGTTCCACTCCTTATCAATACGAGTATACTCACCTTGAGCCTTCGCGACTAGGAGCCTCTGGCGGTCACTAATGGCCTCCTCCAGCGTTTGTCTTGGTGGCCCTCGAATGTTGCGTCGGTTCACCGACACTTGCGCTTGATAGCAGTTAGACTCCGGCTTGAAATACACTCCCGCGGGAAGTTTCTCATCAGGATTCAATGACTTCCGTTTGGTGCTCCGGGCCTTTGGACCACGAAGCTCGTGAACGATCTGAATATCGGCAAGTGAATCCACACGCTGTCGTACTACCCTACTCTCATTAGGTCTTCCTCAGAGGACGCGGACTCCATCTTGGCCCTATCCGAGATAGCTTCGGCAAGGGTTTGCCTGGCAGGGCCATCTATCTGAACAGAAGGATGCCATAAGACGAGAACCAGTTCGATGGAGCTCTCACCTTGGCCGTAGTGGGTTTAGGGGGTACCACTGTGCCAGGTGGAAGGACCGGAGCCGGCGGCATATGGCCGTTGAACTCCCCTCGAGTAGCCGACAAGGCTTGGGCCAGCTCTCGGTGCCTCGCTGCTGCAGCCAACGGCCCTGGTTGACGATTGGCCGCCGATATGTTGATACTGGCGATCTGCCAACATGTACGGCAATGTACCCATCACCGAGGAGCACAGCGAGCCCTACGTAGGCCTTCTTGCGCTTATGATAATAAACTCCTTTCGGCAGAAGTTGTGAGTGCAGATCCCAGCCGACGAGAACCTTCAAAGAACATGCAACATGGTGTGGTGACGGGAGGCTACCTCTTCAATGTTTCCCTCCATCTTGGCTCTCTCTAGTGTGAACTTGTCTTGTTCGGCCTCAACTGAGTCGATCGAGCAACTTGTAAGAGTCGGACGAGTACTTTCAACTTACTCTGTGATTGACGTTTGGGGCCTCGGACCTTCTTTCCGGGATACAACAATATCTACTCGAGAGAGGAGCTTCATGTGGGTTAACGACGACCGACTCACCTCTGCTTGATAGACCTTCTTCCGGCAGGTGACGATGGCCTGCCCTTGACTGAGGGCATCTTGCTGACTACGAGCTCCTGCAGAGTGGAGATGAGGAGGGGTAGTGAGACCAACTGCCGCCCTGTAATGAGATGGGCATCAACAGGCTCAACAGGCTTAGTAATGGCGACTTACCGCACTGGGAAGGGGATGGACGGATGATGGCGTACGTTCATGCCTGGGGTCGTTTGAGCGGCCTGCAGCAAACAATGGGCTTGGGGGTTGGTAACGAGTTGGGGCTACTGACCTCAGAATTGGGAGCGGCGTCGGGGATAATGGCATCATCCTCGCCGGCAGGAGGGAACATATTGGCGATGTCGATGTGGGACTCTGAGGAAAGGCGATGAATTGACGAAGGGATGGTACGAACTCACCGGTGCTTGGTCGCACTCCAACATCTACACCAACACGAACCGATTGACTGGGCGTCTGAAAAATAGACCCGATTTAGACCTATTCTGTATCCTGCTTGGTCGAGGGTAAAGATACGTCAAGGGCAACATCAACGATAGACCAAAATTTGGCACGCGACCGGTCGGCGACGTGTGCCGAGCTTCTTACCACCGGAGCTTGTCGATGATGATCATTCTGCTCCGACGTGACATCATCAGGATGAGGTATGTGTACGGCCGAGGCCGAGGCATATGATGGGTCCATCGCAACACGAATTGGCGAGCGAAAGGCACTAAAAGGGCGTGCGGCGATAATTTGGCGCTCAACCAACCACACACTGCACGCGCACGCAACTTTGATCGATTGTTTTTCGTGCAATTTACGTGCACTTTGTAGTTGCACTACGGTGTGCTATTGGTGTGGTATAGCTGCTGATATTTATGAGGTGGTTGCTACCAATCTGGAGCCACAGTACTCGAGGGCTTTGACGGGCATGATGAAGGAAAATTCACCAACTCGGCTCCTAGGAGACCGAACAGGAAACTTGAAAATGACCTGGCGGCTGCAGTGTATATCGATAGTATAGCGATTCTCTTTCCTCGTAAGACCTCTGAGGGCCCGAGGGTAAACAAAGTATAGAGTTATGTTAAGAGCGTTCGAATATGCGTCAATGGCGTTTATGAGCTCGCTTGTTCCTGAGCATGATATTTTTGTGAGATGTCTTAGCTTAGGAGCTAAAGTAGGATTTGTCATCAAACTGCTAGACGATAATCGTAGCGAGCTTCAGTCGAGACTGTTCCGATATGAGTATATTATCTGGATGTATTTCTAAGTCGAGTCCTTAGTTTCTCTACCTTGGTATTTTCCTTTGGCATTTCGCCTCAGTATGTCCAGCGCAGTTCAGAGCAAGCAGCAACAACACGAGAAGAGCTTCCTCCAGAAGTACCCTATCTTGGTCGACTTCATGACTGGTGGTACCTCTGCTGCTATCTCTAAGACCTTGGTGGCCCCCATAGAGCGTGTCAAGATGGTCCTCCAGACGCAAGATTCTAATCCCGACATTGTCTCTGGCAAGGTCGCCCGTTACAACGGCATTGGCGACTGCTTCATGCGATGCTGCAAAGAGCAAGGCGTGTCCAGTCTTTGGAGAGGCAACTTGACCAACGTCCTCCGTTACTTCCCCACCCAGGCATTCAACTTCGCCTTCAAGGACAGCATCAAGAGCATGTTCCCCAAGTACGATCCCCATAGCCAGTTCTGGAAGTTCCTCGCTTCCAATGTCTTCTCTGGTGCTGCTGCCGGGGCCGGTTCTCTTTGTATCGTCTATCCTCTCGATTACGCTCGTACCCGTCTTGCTGCTGATGTTGGCAAGGGATCTGATCGTGAGTTCAAGGGTCTCATCGATGTCATCACTAAGACCTGCCAGAGGACTGGTTTCTGGTCCATGTACCAGGGCTTCAGCATGTCCATTCAAGGCATCATCTTCTATCGTGGTGCCTACTTCGGTCTATATGATACCATCAAGCCCCTTGTGTTCAAGGATGAGAAGAATGCTAATGTTATTGCTAAGTTCGTTCTTGCCCAGAGTGTCACTGCTGTTTCTGGTTTGGTATCTTATCCCTTCGATACTGTCCGTCGTCGTATGATGATGATGGCCGGTCGTGGTGGTAACGCTGTGCAGTACTCTTCCAACTGGGACTGCTGGGTCAAGGTCTTCCAGGAGGAGGGTGTCCCTGGTTTCTTCAAGGGTGGTCTCTCTAACATGCTCCGTGGTGTCGGCGCTGCTTTGGTTCTTGTGTTCTATGATGAGTTCAAGAACGCTATCAACAATAAGATAGCTCAGAACAACCAGTAATCATCACTCAATAGAGCTGTTGCGTGTGCGATGATGAACTTGCTTGGTCGTTTCTGCATATTTAGCTTATAAGCAATCACAGTTGTTGTCAGTGGCCGGTTATAGCCCTTCGTTTCCCTTGGGTAATTATCATCCATCAACTGCCGTGTCGTTGCTTCTCTCTGTCGATGATGTGAATTGCTCTACTCTCTACCAGTATTGTTCCTACCATTACTGATTCGTCTATAATAATAATAATCCTATTTTTTGTTCGGTTTAGTCAATCGTGAGTTGAGTAGCATCAGCAACGGGTTTGAAAGATTATGAAGGGGAAGTGATGAAAACGGCAGAGGGTGTTTATGAGAGTAAGAATTCGATTGTGGAAGTTAAGGTCAAAAACTAAAGCCATACATCACATGGATTTCCCCTATTATATTTTGGTTGCTGCGATCAGAGCTCTTGTAAGTCGCAGATATCATAATACTGCACCACAGCGTGGGCTGACCGCTTGAATACTGATTGAGGTGATGTATGTGATTTTCGTGGTGCAGTGACGGATTCAGCGACACCGGCTAGTACTATCAACATGAATATTATATGGCGTAAATGTGACCAAATAGATCTCCGACCGTTGTGTTGG